TTACAGAAAAGTAGGAAGACATAGAATAACATCAAGCGGCTAGCCCAGGATAAAGAAAGGTGGAAAGTGTTTGTTTGTGGCCTATACCCTGATCCATGGTGGGAAAGTGTTTGTTCGTGGCCTATCCAGGGTGGGAAAGTGTTTGTTCGTGGCCTATCCAGGGTGGGAAAGTGTTTGTTCGTGGCCTATACCCCGACCCAGGGTGAGAAAGACAATGATGATGATGATGTGAGGGTGGCTTCATCTTTTGTTATTTATATGGGGTTTTGGGGGGGGGGGGGGTGAGGTTTGTTATGTTATAGTGTAAAGTTTAGCTGCATTTACATTTCTCTGGTTCTATACTATGTCGCTTGCTCGATACATCTAGATCTGAGAGAAAGTTATCACATTACATCTTATTTCAATTAATTTGTGTAATTGGGTAACTTTTGATGATCTCAAAATGTGAACTCATTGTTTATTGTACTTTGAGCCTTGGGCCATAAGCCTGCAAAGTGTTTCTGTTGATACTATGTGTTGGCTCATCAACATTACAAGTAGGGCTGGGCAATGAGTCACTTTAGCAAAATCGGGATACTATGTTAGTGCACCTCTACGGCAAATAATATGATATGAACCGCTTCGGCAAATGGGTTAGAACCACTCCGACAAACGGGTTAGCACTACTTCAACAAATGGGTGCACCCACTTCGGCAAACGGGTCAGGAAAGAGAGTTAAAGAGTCTGAATTCGGATAATGTTTCATTGAGAATTAACCGGTTATCCTTGTAGATTATCCGGATTTTGCCCACCTCTAATTACAAGTATTGTTTTGTCATGCTATTGTTGTAAGTCTCCCTCAAGTTTTTGCTTCAGCTTGCAGACTCTTGACATATTTCGGAATGGTTCAAAGAACGACTGTGTTAAAAAACCTTAGGCTTGATTCAGCTTTCTCCTGACCTTAGCCGCGGTGTGTGATAGACATACTTCTGAATCACCCTCAAAACTGTATTTCATTAGTGGTGGAGACATCTGAAAGACTGAAGGTTTTTATCTTTTATTTTCTAAATCTCAAAACATAGTGGTCAAGAGCAATGAAGTTTTTTTTATTCAAGTTGACTTTACTTTTGTTCTTGGGTTGTTTATATCCTGTTGTTTTTGCTTTATTTTAACATTTTAACACTTTGGGGTCACTTGCCGCAATAATGCGACAGTAAAAATTATATGTTACGGTCTCTTGACGCAGTCCTGCGACAGGCCCAAGAAGTCTGTTGCAGTCACTCACCTGACTGGGTGACCAGATGAGGTATTTTGTACTGTTGGCTGTGTGACTGCAAAGTGTTAAAGCGTTTGCCATTGGCTTTTCTTTTGTGTTGCACAAGTGATATTAATAAAAATCAAGGAAATGTTTATTGCTGGCTATTCAGAGACTGGAAATAATTTAGCTTTCTTTAAATAGGGTTTCCTTTTTGTGAAACCATTCTGAAAAATGATGTAACTTTCCAATATTATTACAAATTTTTGACACCGTTGTTGCTTTCTTTTAGAAAATGATTATTATGAGGGTGAATTTGTTTTTAATTGAAACAGTTCTCTTGTTATGATTTAGTTCTTAACTCCTTAAAGATTGTGTGCCAAAGAATATTTAATCTGTACTTATCTGACTTACACTTAGAAATTCTGAGAGGAATAGTATACTGAAAATGAGTGGAACTGTGGAATGAGGCGATACTCAAATGAACAAATACCATGTACAATGCAAGATTTCTCTCCCTTTCACTTTTCTTTGAGAAGAAGTAGATGTATGTTTGTATGAATAACATAAATGTCTGTGTATATAAATGTATGCATGTATATATATGCATAAATCATTCTCTGTTAGTCTGTCTATCTGATGGGTTTCTGTACTTCTGTATTTCTCCCTTTGCTTTCCTGCTTCCTTTTAGATCAGTCTATCTTCTTCTGTATACTCTTGTCCTTCTCTATTACACTCCTTCATGTGTGTTGGGGTGAGGGGGAGGAGGTTAAAGTCTTTTTGTTCAAGTTTCATTGTGAATTTTTTTTTAAAAGCATCTTTTCTTAAGAGATGATAACATTTTTAATGTGTTATGAAATGAAATTTGTACTCCGTTGAAACATTTTAAGGAGCTGTGTTCATTTTGAATTATGAGATTTGGCGAGGGAGTGGGTGGGGGAAATTGTTTCATTTGATCGTTTATTCGGTTTTCGTTTCAAATTCTAGATATGTGTTTGAACAAAATTATCGGAATATTTTCGGGAATATATGGTTACAATTTGTTCATGTCAACCTACAATTTGTTTGTTTTGCCAGTTGGAATGAAAAAAAACAACTGATCCTTCATCAGTTGACTTGCTTCTCATCAATTTGTCATTGATGAGTGAACTATATTTTTGGATTCTTATGAAATGTGGAAGATGTATGTGAGACTATGAATGCCATGTCAAAAGAATATACACGAAAGTGCTCCCTATTGATGCAATCACACTGCATGATTGTTGTCTCTAGAGATATATGAAACACTTTGTTTCTGAACATTAAAGAGGTTTGCTGCCAATTTATGCTGATTTCAGTGTTAGTTTTTTAAAATTTTGATACTCTTACTCCTTTTTTTTTTGTCTTCATGTCCCCATTTTGGTGCCGATATTTGTAAGTTACGTAAAAATGTGCCAACATAATGTAACAAGTTGTTATGCTTCAAGAAAAACAAAACTCGAAAAAAAGGGATGTGATGATGATGATGATGATGGCGGTAATGATGGTGATGCTGTAATGTTGGAAAAGATGATCCAAATTTGGCGCTTACTCTAGATCCCCCCCCCCCCCCCCCC